TCCCACTGAGGCACTCTAGTATCCTCACCACATCTGTGGTGATCAAACTGGGGTCAGTTGTGATGGTGAGAGGGCTGCTGTGGGTGAGCCCCTTCTGCTTCATGATCTCCAGGATGCCCTTCTGCCCTAACAAGGTCATTCCACAGTCCTACTGTGAGCATATGGCTTTGCTGAAGTTGGTGTGTGCTGATACCAGAGTCAATCGTGGATATGGGCTCTTTGTGGCCTTCTCTGTGGCTGCCTTTGATATCATTGTTATTGGCATATCCTATATGAAGATTTTGAGGGCTGTTCTTCAGTTGCCTTCAGGTGAAGCCCGTCTCAAGGCTTTTGGTACCTGTGGTTCTCATATCTGTGTTATCCTGACTTTATATGTTCCAGCTCTTTTCACCTTCCTCACCCACCGGTTTGGCCATCAAGTGCCCCATATAGTACACATCATATTTGCTAATGTCTATCTTCTGGTACCTCCCATGCTCAACCCCATCATCTATGGAGTGAGAACCAAACAGATCAGGGACAGGGTTGTCAGAGTGTGTTGTGGAAAAGAGCCTTGAGCCAAGGATCACAGTGTCCCTACACTCTCAATTGCTCCATTGATCTGACATAATGATTAAAGTTTGATAAGCCATTACATATCATCAATGTTATAGTTCCCATATGAAGTATCCTTCAAAAACTCCTCTATTAATGTAGGAATATCCAGAGGTGAAATGATTGGATCATGGGAGCTCAAACATAATCAGTCCATCCTAGTTTGAATGAACTGAATGGCTGGTACTGTAGGCATTTGGGACATAGCTGGAGATGAGTCACTGAGGGCATGACCTTGAAGGGTACATCTTCCTTGTTGCCTCTTTTCTCCATTTCTCTGATCCCTTGTTGCCTTGAATAAAGCAGTTTCTCTCTACTGCACCCTTTTCCCATGATGTTCTACCTCCCCTGGGCCCAGATCTGTGGCCAACCAAACATGGGCTGAACCTCTGAAACCATGAGCCAAAATAAACTTTTTCTCCTTTAAGTTGTTCTTGTCAGGTCTTTTGATCACAGAGACACAAAGCAGACTAAAACAATCACAAATTTATCTCTGTGGACAACTAGCTCAAAGGCCATCAATTAATATTGTTTGGATACAAGGAGCTGCCCAATAAGCTCATATGATAGATAATCTAGCAATGTTCAGAGGCGAGAAGATTAGGTTTTGAGAGCTGTAACCTGTGACCTAATGAGTATATTAATCTATCTGATGGATTGATCATTTGAAAGGACTACTGTACTACTGTAGTAGATGGTAACTGGTGAAAGTAGGTCGTGGGGTATATGCCTGAGCCAGCCAACCATGGACTAAACTTCTGAGGCCATGGGACAAAAATAAACAAGAACAGCTAAGTTGTTTATTTTGGACTCAAAACTAAATTGTTCTTCTCAGGTACTTTGGTCACAGTGATGCAAAGGTTATTAATAAAGCAACTGTCCAGAAGAAAGAGGAACAGTTTCCATGATACCCCAGAATAAGAGATATCTGAGAAATATGATGCATAGTGCGAACTCAATTGACTTATGTTCATTATCACCAGAAAATTTTTTGTGTGTATTAAATCAGTAAATATTTTAAAAGAATGCCATCTTCTATATCCTAGTGAGGTAAAAACATCTTTATGCTATCAGTAGAAGTATGAAACACTGTTTAAAAACAATACAGAAATTTGCATCAGTTAAAAGAAAGACATTTTCTCCCAAGGAATCTCTGTGTAAAAACAGAATTTGTGAAACAAAACAAGAATAAAGACATGGATAAAGTCACTATTTGTAAAAATAAAATGGAATTATTGAAATATGATACTATAATAAACCAAGAGACACAATGTGTAGCTGAACATCATGTTCCACTTGTGTGTGCAACAAGTAAAGAGAACTGTGAAAAATGATCAAGATATAACATTAAATTAGAATAAATTAAAAAAAAAATTGCCCATGAAGCCTGCCTGATGCCAATTCTAAGAAGGAAGACATGTACAAAAAATATTTAGGAAATACATCCAAATGCTAATAAGACATACTTGGAGCAATGAAGCTTGTGTCATTTTTTAAAAAATGTTTTTAAACATACGTGACAGTATATGTATTTTGATATATTATATATACAAGAAGTAAAAATTATTCTAATTAGGATCTTTTTCTTGTGGTTGTACATGATGTGGCATTACACTGGTTGTGTTTCATACACAATGATGGGAAAGATACGTTTGATTAATTCTACTGTCTTTCCTATTCCCTCCTTCCACCTTTCCCTCCATTCCCCTTTGTTTTATTCTTCCCCTCCCCATCCTCCTTTGTGGTGGATTTGGATTTGCATCAACATATCAGGGAGATCATTTGGCCTTTGGTTTTGGGGGACTGCTCTGTTTCATTTAGCAGGATATCTACCAGGTCCTTCCATTTACCAGTAAATGCCATAATTTCATTCTTCTTTATGGCTGAGTAATATTGCATTGTGTGTGTGTGTGTGTGTGTGTGTGTCCCACATATTCTTTATTCATTCATCTATTGAAAGACACCTAAGTTGGCTCCATAGCTTGGCTCTTGTGAATTGAGCTTCTATAAATGTTGATGTGGCTGCATCATTGTAGCATGCTGATTTTAAGTCCTTTGGGTATATACCAAAGAAAGGGATAACCGGGTCAAATGGTGGTTCCATTCCAAGTGTTCCATAGTGGTTGCACCAGTTTGCAGTCCCACCAGCAATGTGTGAGTTAACCTTTTCCCTCACATCTTCGCCAACATTTATTGTTACTTGTATTCTTTATAATTGCCATTCTGACTGGACTGAACTAGAATCTCAGTATAATCCTCTATCTGACGTACAGGCAGTAAAGATTTTCTCCCATTCTGTAGGTTCTCTATTCATGCTATTAATTGTTTCCTTTGCTGTGAAGCAGCTTTTTAGTGTGATATTATGTCATTTATTAAGTCTGATTTTACTTCTTGTGCTTTAGGAATTTTATTGATGAAGTTGATTCCTAAGCCGGCATAATGGAGAGCTGGGTCACTAGCAATTAGAGAAATGCAAATAAAAATTATTCTTAGATTTCATCTCACTCCAGTCAGAATGGCAGCTATTATGAATACAAAGAACAGTAAGTGTTGGCAAGGATGTGGGGGAAAAGCTACATTCATACACTGCTGGTAGGACTGCAAACTGGTGCAGCCAGTATGGAAAGCAGTATGAAAATTTCTTGGAAAATTTGGAATGGAATCACCATTTGACCCAGGTATCCCTCTCCTCAGTCTATACCCAAAGAACTTAAAAACAGCATACTACAGTGACACAGCCACATCAATGTTTATAGCAGCACAATTCACAATAGCTAAACTGTGGAGCCAACCTAGATGGCCTTCAGTGGATGAATGGATAAAAAGAAAGTGGCATATATACATAATGGAATATTACTCAGCAAAAAAAAGGAATAAAATCATGGCTTTGCAGGTAAATGGGTGGAGTTAGAGAAGATAATGTTAAGTGAAGTTAGCCAATCCAAAAAAATACAAATGCCAAATGTTTTCTCTAATATAAGAAGGCTGATTTAGAGTGGGGTAGGAAGGAGGAGCATGGGAGGAATAGACAAACTCTAGATAGAGCAGAAGAGTGGGAGAAGTTAGAAATGATGGTGGAATGTCATGGACATTAGTATTCAAAGTACATGTATAAAGACACAAATTTGTGTGAATATACTTTTTATACAACCAGAGATATGAAAATTTTGTGCTTTATATGTGTAATAAGAATTGTAATGCATTCCACTGTCATATATAAATTTAAAAAATAATGGAGAGTTGGGGCTACTTTTTCTTCTAGTAGGTGCAAGGGCTCTGATCTAATGCCTAGGTCTTTTCTCCACTTTAAGTTGAGTTTTGTGCAGGGTGAGACATAGGAGTTCAATTTCATTCCACTATATATGGATTTCCAGTTTTCCCAACACCATTTGTTGAAGACACTATCTTTTCTCCAATGTAGGTTTATGGCACATTTGTCTAGTATGAAATAACTGTATTTATGTGGGTATGTCTCTTTGTCTTCTATTCTTTTCCATTGGTCTTCATATCTGTTTTATGCCAATACCATGCCATTTTGTTACTATAGCTCTGTAGTATAATTTAAGGTCTGGCATTGTGATGCCTCCTGCATCACTTTTCTCACTAAGGATTGCTTTGGCTATTCTGGATCTCTTATTTTTCCAAGTGAATTTCATGACTGTTTATTCTATTTCTATTTTTATTCTTATTCTATTTCTATTCATTGGAATCTAAATAGAAATTACATTTAATATGTATAGTGATTTTGGTAGTATGGTCATTATGACAATATTATTCTGCCTATCCAAGAATATGAGAGATCTTTCCATTTCTTAGGTCTTGTTCAATTTCTTTCTTTAGTTTTCTGTAGTTTTCATTGTAGAGGTCTTTTACCTCTTTTGTTTGATGGGTTCCCAATTTTCTTTACTATTTTCTAAGAGGAAAATTCATTTCATTGAGCTCACTCATTAAAAGATTAGAGAGTTACCAAATAAATAACCTAACTTTACATCTCAAAGCCCTCAGAAAAAAAACAAATCAACACCAGAAGCAGAAGACATAAATAATTAAAATCAGAGTCAAAATAAATGCACTTGAAACAAAAAAAATCAATGAAACAGAAAGTTGGTTCTTTGAAAAAAAATAGGTTGATAAACCTTTAGCCAAGCTAATGAAGAGAGAGAAAAACTCAAATTACATATACATATATTTGTATTTTATATATAAAATACATATACACATATATCAGGAAGATGTACATATTATAATGGACAGATAATTTTTTTTCTGAGAAGAAAGAACACTCTTGCACTGGAGCAATAAAGGATAGGTTTCTGTAAAGGAATCTGAAATATTTTAAATTTCAGCAGCTGATTTTTCTTTTTTTTCCATAGTTAGACTTATCTATGAAGATTGCTTCAATGGAAATAGGATCTTCATGAATAGTGAAGATAAAGGGATTTTGAGACCACATTGGCAGTACTTAATAATCAGCGATAATCAGCTATAATACAATAATTGCAGAGGGTAGCAACACTTGAAAGTCAATCAGGGTCATGAGACATGTAGTAATCTGTTGCAAAGATAATGGTGTTCCTGGAAACAAGCCAAGTAGATAGTCAACTATGATGTTATTCAGCAAACATTTAGTTAGAGAACTCCTGGGCTCTAGATTGATCTTGACCATCATAATCAGAAATCAGGATCCCTCAGACTGTGTAAATATTTAAGTCACTCCATGTATACAGAATCCATTAGTTGAAAATAAGGCTTTGTCTCCTCCATGAAGTAGCCTGCAATGCCACTGCCAGAATAAAATTTAAAAATTATCCAAAATTTTCCCCAAATGAATATATGACCATTTAAAAATATAATTGCTGCATTGTAGAAAGAATAATACCCAGACTCTTTGAGAACTGTTGGATATAGGCTATAATACTAAGCACCAAAAATGTCATCAAGCTCTTTTTTTATTGTAATATTA